TGTGTTCCCCTTTTGAAATAAATCTTAGGAAGCTGAAAAAAAAAAATCCACGAAAGCTTTGAACAAATGCTTTTCTTGAATGCTTTCTTAGAGGCCGCTGGAAAAATAAAATGCATCCCCACCCCTAACAATCACAAAGTGGGATTTGGGGGACCAGGCTTCATATAATTGGCGGAGCCTGATAATGAGAGGGTTTTTTTTTTTACTCCCCCTGATCCAATCTATTATTTTAATTGTAATTAATTCAAAACAAAAGTTACATCCTTTTTTTTTTTTTTTTGCTAATATGTAGAGGAAAAAGTACAAATACTGATGTTAAAATATTATGAGTAAAATTAAAAAGTAGTAAATAGGAAACTGAGTACTTGGAATAAAATGCTCATTACACTTCATCTCTGCAAGGAGGGCAAACGCAAACATCACAGGAAAAGGCATGTAGGCAAATACACACCTACTGGGGCGTTCCTCTTTTACGGCCACCCCACTTTAACTTCCGCATGCTGTCTTCAGTTACGTCCGCCTTTCCTCAATGTATCAGCCGAACATCAGTCAGTCAAGCCGATCCCTTACCGAAGTCGTACAACAGCATTCACAGATTTTGGAAGTCGGTGCATACGCAAAGCGACCAATATGAGTAGGTATTTTCAAGAAAATTTAAGACTTTTAAGTGTGCCTTTTGGTCGTGGAAATACAGTTTGTCGTCTGTGAGTACCTTCAGAAAAGGGCAACGCTCAAAACGTGTTTCTTCGTTTGAAGAAGTACAACCACTCCAAGTGATTATGTGAAAGCATGAACATGTGAGTGGAGTCTGCAGAGCCTTCAGGCATAACATGAATTAGCAACCTCGCCACTACTAATTAGCGGTGCGACCACCAGACCAAAGCAGCAATCATCATGTCATCTTTTGATCATGCACATGTGTAAGCAGCAATGGTGTTATGTAACCTCAAAATTCGAATGTTTACATTTGCAGGAGTCTTCATTATTCCCGAGGGGGCACCTTGTTTGTATTGGGTCTTGTATGCCTGCTGAAACTTTCAAGACTATAAACCACTTCAATGATTTATTTTATATTGATTTACAGTTGTTGTAGGTCTAATCTTGATTCTCAAGAAAGTTGTCATATTTTTATATTATGTTTATCTTGTTCATTTTGTTTTAAAAATGTCCATCATGTTAATATAAAATATGAACCTACTCGCCAGTGTCTTTAAATTACAATCCAAATGTCATTGTTGTCTGTTATTATTTAAATTACACGGCATGTTAATTGTGATGATGTAGTGGTTCCGTATTACATTATTCATTCAGCTAAAAATGTGTTTCAAGACTAAATTGGACACAAACATTGCAGTAAGGATTAGTAACGGCAATATCAGTATTGACGTTAACGGGCAATTCAACGTGGACTCCGCGATCCTGAACGCACCAGTCATCCATGATTACGCCCAACAGACCGAATCATGTGCCGTTGGCGCCCCTTAGTGGTCAAAGTGCAACATGCCTATTCTAAATACTGTCGTATGCACTGTATACTATTTAGAATAGGCAGAATAGAATAGGTACACTGTAATACATTATCATATGGTATACAACACACACACACACACACACACACACACACACACACACTAGTGTAGTCTAGTGTAGTGATTCCCAGCCTGGTTGTTGTGGCACGTCACTGGACCTGGAAATCATACAATTACATTTGATTTCTCTGAAAATAAATACTCATCTTCTAATAGTAATTTCGTAATGAGTACTTGGCAGAAGGTCTAATTACCGCGTGTATCCACCTGTTGCCATTCAACCAAATGGAAGAGACCCAGATTTCACATTTGTGAGTTAATTGAAACAAGCTCATATTTAGTTTTTGTGACTACCCATTTGGTGTTTTTTTTCTCATGTAAAATTGTGGTTGGTAAACATGATTTGTGGTCAGCACAACTGCCCTAGTCTTGAGGTTAGGGTTCAACCTTCTAGCCCTCTTGTGTGGAGTTTGTATGTTCCCCTACGCTTTGGGTTTTCTCTGGCTTCTCGAGCTTCAACATTCCAAAAACATGCATGTCAGGTTCACTGAAGAAGCGAAATTGTCCAATGGGTTGAATGTGGGTGTGAAACGTTACTTGACTACCGGTAGATTTTACTTGTCTAGAATTATTGTATGTATGATTGATTTTTAGACATTTCACACGATCACCAGCTTGAATTTAGCTTTATTGATGTCATTATTTGTGAATTCATACATACTATTTATTTAACTCTTTGCTGTATGCGGAAGAATACAAACACATGGTAACACTACAAAGTGAAAAAGAACAAGCACTTTTCTCTCAAGATTTTTTTTTTTTTTATGTGCAATGCATTTATAACAAGAGGAAGCAACAGCCAGTCGATAAGATTGAAACTGACCTTTTGCCAGCGGGTCACTAATTCATTCTGCCACTGTTTGGATCAGTGCTGATGAACATGACCTTGGGAATAACCCAAGCATCTATTTGGAGCACGACCTCACCTTCTTCTACTTTTTTTTTTCCAACAAATGACAAAAAAACAACATGCATGCAGGTGATTAAATGTCTGCACCCGTAGGCTACTGTCCGTCAATACATAAATATACCGCAGGTCTAAACACAAACATTTAATTTGGGTTACAGAACAGGTGACAGATGAAACATCAATGAAGCAGTCATGTGAAATTACAGAACAATGGACCCATATCACATTCAACACGTCTATACCATTAAAGAAAGCAAGACAGACTTGTTGCAAGTTCAAGTCTTGAAAGTTTTGCAAAGGCAAATTTTACAAAGTGACTGAATAATGACGGCAAGATAAAAACAAAAAAGAAGTCGCAGCAACCTTGATGAATTCAAACTCTCTGCCACTGACTCACAAAGTGAAACAGCAAAGAATCTTTCATTTGAAACACCTCAGACCCTTCAAGTCACTCATTATATTCCATTTTCAATGGGATGAAATGGCATGAAAGAAGCCATTACAAAAATCCCTTTTTCATCATTATATATTTTAACCTTTATTTTTTTTTTGCCCAGCAGACTCAACTTCAGTTAAAAAGACCAAACAGTATTGCGCATACAGTATTGCCTACATTTAATGATTCGGATGATTAGATTGAATGGCTAAAAAGACAGAAACTTTTAACACCAAATAGGATAAAATGAAAACATTTTGACCTCCTTACACTAATAATACTGTATAAGTCAGACACTTTTCACAAGAGGAACAAATTGAGTTTTTGAAGATGTCCTTCAAAAAATATGGTCCGAAAGGAACTCTATGAGAAGAAAAGAAAGAGTAAAATGCTTTGCTACTTTCTCAAATGTTGACTCACATGTCACACAAACAATTGCTATCTTCCAATTTTGTTGAGAAACGGGTTGTCCATTAGAGAGGACTATATGCATAGAGCAGTTAAGACTCAGAGCGTACGTCGTAATAATAAATAAAAATATACAGTAAAATTTTGATCAGAATCAAAACACATTTAAAAATGTAAAATTAATGTTTTTAAATCAACTCGTTGCGAATATTTCTTTGTCTTTTTTATTTGTATTTATTTATTTTGAAGGCAGTATGCTCAGTTCGTTGAACTCAATACAGTACAGCCTGCAGGTGTTAATGGTATTGAATAAACGGAATAGTCACTGATGGTGTAGTGGTACACTCGCCTGTGTGTGGGCAGCTTGGGATCGGTTCACACCCAGTGATGGTGTGTATGTGGGTTTTGAATGGTTGTTCGTCTCGATATGTGCACTGCGACTGACTGGGGCTGAAGTCAGCTGGAATAGGCTCCAACAAAGCCTGTGACCCTCGACAGCAGGAGTCACCAGACTTTTTGAAACTGAGAGTTACTTCTTGGGTGCGGATTAAAACAGAGGTTTACCAGATATATGTACACATCTGAAAATTATTACTAATTCACAATTCTCATGTATGTGAAGACACTGATCATGTTAATGTTTTAGTTAGGAGCCAGATAAATATCAGGAGGCTCTCTTAATCTCTGCCAGTGTTTATATTTTCAAATGATTACTTCTACACCATTCTTAGAAAATGTCAATGTCCCGTGACTGGTGAACCTCTTTAGAGCAGGCCCGCGGGTTACTGATGTGATGTTCGGCGTCTACTGTATATGGTGCCCGTGGGCAACACATTGGTGACCCCTGCTCTAGAGTTTAAGCAATGTAGAAAATGGATGGATGGATGGATGAAATATTGAACTGTGGCTCACATGGATAAAGTACAAAAGTAAAATCCATTTTTCTTTGAGTGCTGTATTGCCTTTTATATGTGTGTCAGATTTTTTTTTCACCACGAGCCTTGTAAAAGGAAAAAAAAATTAATGGTTTGGTGACGACAAGGTATGACTTTGTAATGAGCGTCTATAGTTGCCAGGGGGCGACGAAAGCACACAAACATAAATTAGACCGAAACCATCATAAGGTAGCAGGCCCCCTGGCCCGTGTTTGTGTAATTTCAGGCCTGAAGCAACACGCCGTCAGTCGGCAGTTTTATTTTTTTTTCCAAAACACACCACGTCAACAGCATTCAGCATTAACACGAATACGATAACAAAGACTGTAAGGAACTCCGCCAATTGTCTCTGTTAACACATCTGGAGATTTGTGAAGGAATACCACCTTAATACTAAAAGGGAGTCTCAAATTTTGCTCACTGAGAACAAATGGTTGTGGATCAACTTTCCACTGTTCCACAAGACAATGGCACAAATCATTTTGTACTTTTCAAACACTTCACGAATGAAACAATCATGCTAATGTTCTCGCTGTGCTTGTGTGGGTTTTCAGCAGGTACTGTGTCTTCCTTCCACATTCCAAGAACACACAGGTTACTAGAGACTTAAAATGGCCGCAGTTGTGATTGTGAGTGTGAATGCTTGTTTTTCTAATGTGCCCTCTGATCGGCTTGGAACCATTCCAAGATGTAGCCCACCTCTTGCTCAAAGTCAGCCAAGATAAGTTCAAGCTTACCTGTGACCCTAATTAACTTTTATTTCAATATGATGTGTCAAAGCAACACTTAAAACATCTTAGTGGACAATCAGTTTACCTATGAACAAATTTAAGATTATACATATTGGTGTTGAAAACCCGTAATTTTTTTTTAATACATGTAACTGCAACAACAAACTTTGACATTTTCACGTTTGAAATATTTAGTTGATATCAGCACTTGACTCTTTGTTGATTTTTTTTTTTTTTTTTCTTTCAGGTCATTGGCTAATACCACACAAAATGGTGGTGGACATAATTTTGTTCGTGGAAACCACTACACCAAACATTGAGATGTCCACACTATTTTTATTTTTTTTTCTGGTGTCGCTTGAACAAATGTACCATTTTTTATTTATTTTTTTACTTTCTCTGGAGTGACTGCTCTCACGCAGGCCGACATTCCAGCATCTTCTTGAAGGCCTTCCTAAAACTGTCATCGAGAAAGGCATAAAGAAACGGGTTGAGGCAGGAGTTGGCATAGCTGAGGCTGGTGATGAAGTAGGAGATCCCAATGAGCAGCGGTGTGGTCCTCAAGTCGGTGGTCAGGGCCACAATGGTGCTGAGGTGGAACGGCGTCCAGCAGAACAAGCAGACGGCCAACACGATGAAGACCATGATGGTGACTTTCTTCTTGGCTTTGTCCAACGCTTTGGCATTGCTGTTGAGGCGCATGTTCCTCAGCTTGTAGAGCATCAAGGTGTACAAGATGCAAATGGTGGACACGGGGATGGCGAAGCCCAAGATGAGGGTGTAGATCCGACTGGCTTTGAACCACGAGCTCTCTGGTGCGGGGAAGCTGAGCACGCAGCTCTTCCTGCCATCGCTGGGGTCGATGAAGACGCTGGCGAAAATGCTGAACGGCATCACGATGAGTATGACTAGAACCCACACGCACAAGGAGATAATCTTGGCTGCCCGGTAGGTGCGGTACGGCATGCGCTTGGACCTCACTGTGGCCAGGACCACCAGGTAGCGGTCCACGCTCATCACAGTCAGGAAGTAGATACTGGAAAAGATGTTATAGTGGTCGATGCTGAGGATGATTTTGCACAAAACCTCCCCGAAAGGCCAGTAATGCAGCAGGTGCTCGGCGATGCTGATCGGGAGCACCAACGTGAACAAGTCGTCGGCGATGGCCAGGTTGAGGATGAACATATTGGTGACCGTCTTCATCTTGGGAGCTTTGAGGATCACGTAGATGACGGCCGTGTTGCCAGTCAGGCCCACGGCACAGATGACCGAGTAGATGACGGGCAAGATGACGTAGAGGTCAGCGTAGAAGTAGAACTCGGACGGAGGGGTGCAGTTCAGATCGGTGCGGTTGCCTGAGGAGAGACTGTAGAAGTCAACAGAGTCGTCGCACAGTGGCGGCGCAAAGACGCCAGCCTCAGACACGTTCTCCATGTTTTGGACAGGAACCCAAGAGTCCTTAATGATTCATATCAAGGATGTGTATGAATATTTCCAGGGCAACGCATTCATGCACACTTGAAGATAAAGATGAATCTCAAACAAGTCTAGGTGTGAGGAGTGGACATCTAGATCCTTATGCTACTGTTGGAATTCTTTTGGAATGAACAAAAAAGTCTTCTTGGAGTTCAAATAAACAAAGATCCTGTCATTTTTCCTCCACAGGCACTTCTTTGGGGTGAATCCACTTGTATTCTTTTAACATCAAAGCCCTTCAGCCTTGCTTTCTCTGAATGTCTTCTGTCTCCAGGAAGTGTCCCTTCAAAAGCTGTATGGTGCTCCTCTATGTGGGCCCCGCTCCCTCCTTCTCCTTTGTGCACCCTGGAGACAAAGCGGTTTTGAGAGGAACATGTTCAAAATATTGTACAGACAATCTGATTTCAAATAATGAAACCATTATAATTTACCTTCAGTAACGAGCTCCAGCGTAAGAGAGGAACAATCCCTTGAACAGCAGCTGAAAAATGTAAAAATAGCAAGCAAAATGCCTTACGTCATATTTCTAAATAACTATAAGATGCTTATGAAGAAGTGCAAGGAGGAGAATTCAGCCACCGTAGCATTCTGCCTCTTCACTCCTCCCTCGACTCCTCAGCCACTCCTCGCAATAGCATTTGTTGAAGCTCTCCCACTCTCTCATTTTCCCCTCTCCCCTCTCTCTCTCACACTCTCTCTCTCTCTCTCTCTCTCTCTCTCTCTCTCTCTCTCTCTCTCTCTCTCTCAATGGCATGTGGTCCAAGCATATGTTGGGCTTTAATTTGGGTCGTTTTATTTCCATTTATTACAATGGCATGTGGTCCAAGCATATGTTGGGCTTTAACTTGGGTAGTTTTATTTCCATTTATTATTATTATTATTATTATTATTTTTTTTTTTTTTATAATGTGGTGATTTTCCTCAATAACAGTTGGGAGGAGTGATCACATTGATTCTGACACTCACATGGTTGGCATCTTCCCCGGGGCCTCTGCAGGCTTCGACGTGCCCAGAACAACTCATCAGGAGGCATCCTAAACTGATGCCCAAGCTAACCCGCATCGAGCTCCTCCGGAACAAGATTCTTGATTGTGACGTTCTCACCTTGCTTGTTCCATGAGCATCTCCATTCAGACATCACCCGCAGCTCAAGCTAACGGGTGAGTGGGGGAACCTGCATTCACTCGTAAATCGTACTTCACCACGTCAGGGCGATGCACCGTTCACATCCTTGAACTGGAGAGGGAATGCCACACTTTCTTGGGTGCAGCCATTGTCTCAGATTAGGAAGTGATCCCTCACTGCAGTCAATTTATTCATCCCAGTGAAAGTCGAAGAGAGCAGTCTGATGAAGCCAACAGAAAGACTTTGCTTTCCCACTGGGCAGAAGATTAGAAGTCTTCAACCCACAGCATCCTAAGTCGAGGTCTGTAGTGCCCCATCTGCACCACATACACTCAAATGGTCCATCACATCCGCTGACTAAAAGTTGTTCTCCGTGGCATTACCAAACTCCACCCAGGCCTGAATTTTTGCCTCAGACGCCACCAAATCCACATTCCAATGAAAAAAAAAAAAACTTTTCAGACTGCTCTTCCACCAACACGTTTGGTAAACTCTTTCTGACAGAATGACCATTTCAAACACTTGGCAGGTTGTGACTGAAAAGTCAATTTCCAAAATAAATGAAAGATGAGTACGCATTTCCAACATTTGACAAGATAATTAATTCCATCAAATGATAAGGCACAGAAAACATTATCCGTCCAAATGAGACTCTGTGTTTTATAACTTTGAATACTGATTGGCTTCTGTTAATTTCAGCCTGAAGATGAACACAAGAGAAAACAATCATCTTCGTGATTAAATGCGGTGGTTACTGAAGACACGAACATTTTTTTTTTTTTTTAATTCTCAGTCATATTGTGCAGTTGTGGAAAAGTCATGCATGTAACTCCAAATGATGTTATTTCCAAAAACCTGTAGCTATAATACAGTCATCAGACCGAGGTTTCAGTTTTTAGCAACGCTGTTGTCATGGAAACATGTCCTGAAACATGCAGAGAGTGTGTCACCTCTCCTCAGTGTAAAGCACCATTCCTACACGTGAAATTTCCTTCAGCGCCTGCACACTCACATCGTACTTTGAAAGTCAGCAAGGACCTGGAAAAAGAAATTAAAGGAGAGATTCTTTCAGGTCAACTGACCACTGCTCATCTCCATTCTGGCGGTTGCCTCTTTGAATATTTTAAAACACCTTAAACCCAGTGGATTCTCTTAACTGGGAATTTTATTCAAAGGAATAACTACCATATAGAGAGAATATTGGATCATAAAACCATCCCCGGGTCCCTCCTCTGAGCTGAGTCCATATTGTTTGTGTGCTTCAACCTTCAACATCAACCTTCAACAAAAGACATCAAACACCCACTCATTCACAGTTGAATTGCGCTCAGATTTCCAACTTTCTGCCGTCACTTTAAGCCAGTCTTGTCAGTCCTATACAGATCAGTACTCTCATCTGTATGGATTTTTGGGGACAGATACATGTGCCGAAATTACAATGTTACATATCTTACTAAAATATTACTCGGGTGCAAAGTTTAACAATTCAAAAGGTGTCACACTGATCCTGATTTAAAAAATAACACAATGCCTGATGATATTGTTTTAGTCGAGTGTTTTAAAAAAAGTTGCTGATGACTAACCATAGCAAAAAAAAAAAAAACTTTTTCGCCATTGTGTGCACCGCATGACTTAGGTCGAAAGGTGAAAAAATAAAATCCACCATCCACAACGTTTCGGAAGGAAACAGAGTCGTCTCATGACTTGTAAATGACTAACGCAATACGAAACTGCTTGGTCCTTACCACCTCATTTAAATACTCTTCGTCACAGGTGTCAAACTCAAGGCCCAGGGGCCAGATCCGGCCCGCCAGGTCATTTTATGTGGCCCGCGAAAACAAATCATGTGTGTCAACTTGCTAAAATCTCTACCGAAATATCAAATTGTCATGTGTAATAAATGACGTTGAGATTTCGCAATAATTTTGTTGCCCTGTTTACACTCACTTGAACAATAATTGAACAAACTATTACAATTGACTTGAATGATCAAAACTAGTAATCTATTCATTTGTGGTGTACAAATGATAATTTTGTGGTTTCACTGTCATAACGGCCCTACGAGGGAAGGCGTGAATCCAAATTGGCCCGTGACTAAAATGAGTTTGACAGCCCGGCTCTACGTGAATAAACCTAGAAACCAACAGCACAATTTATGAGAACGAAATTGAGAATTTAAAAGCGGTTAGAAGGATGGCGTGGATAGTTTTACGGTGACATCTCTGATACCAGCCCATAAAGCGCCGATGATCGTCCATTAGCACATGAAAAGACTTCCCGGGAAAACAAACAGTCCTGACATCGGCTCAGAATCAGACTTTAGCCCGCCAATGTCTGTAAAACACTCAACGCAATGACACCACTTGAGAAATACTGTGACACGAGCTGCCCTCCAGAACTGTAGATTGATGCTGAAAGCCCAATAGGACCATTGGTCACCAGTAGTGGCTGGTGTGGAATAAATATCCGTGTTATCCAACCGAGGAGACAAAAATGAATATTTGAAAGACAAAAGAGCTCGCGCAGTTTATTGTTTGTTGCCAAAAAGGTCAGATAAGAGACATTGTATCAAGCAGAGGAAGTCTCCTGCTCGGATTTTTATCCGTGCCCACATGCAAATGTATCAGAACAAAAACTCAACACAGGGAGACCCGGCCAAATGCATCGAGATATTAAAAATAACATGTGAGGACATTTTAGCTGAGGTAGAATACCAACGCAGCCATCTTCTTTTCTTCCTGAAATACATACAGCGGATAAGTTGACACAACAGAGTTCAAGTGGCAGTTTTTTGGGGGCTCACATCTCAGTGGTTTATTTTTACGTACCGTCTCTACTTGGTTTGACTTTCTTTCTTTCGTTCGTTTTTATTTATTTATTTTTTTGAGTCGTGCAGTCTGCAGGTTGATATGTGTGGAAAAGGTTTTTCCTTGTCATTTTTTTTTTTTTTTACATCAAACAAACCAAGCATTTTAACAGGTCTTTGTTGTCCTTTTATATTTACTGAATAATGTGGCACTTTACCAGGTGCTGGCACTTCCGAGTCAGACATATGGGTGTTATATCTTTGTAATCTAATTACGCCAAGTGTTACTCTGCTACAATTCACTACGACATGAGGGGCAAGGAGCACAACAAAAATTTGTTTTGCTGGAATAACATTTTGCAATAAGATTGCATGACCAACCTACTTACTGGTTAAGATGAAGGCCAAGCTACAATGCAAATTTTCAAACATGGCCATTTAAAAAAAAACAAAAAAAAAAACCAACATAATCTAGTCTCTTTAATCATGACCTTTCATGAAACATTTTGTTTGTTTTTGACTACACTCAGTTTGGCACGGGTCAGTCTCAAACGGTTGTTGTCAACTATTCAAAATTCATGTTTTTCTTTGATTCTGATTCTGGGAAAGAGAACCAAATGGAAAATAGGAATTGAAATATGATCAATTGGGAATTATTACATTCTGCTTCTGGCAGCACAAAACCTTCAAATGATGATTCTTGACTTTGTCGTTTAATTATAGGGGCATTACTGTACATTATACTAAGTAGTCTCCTTTTTATTACTATACAAATTGTCAAGATGGTCATTTTGTACGATACTCGAGCGGTGCCCTATTGTTTTTATTTTCATTTTTGGCCAATGTACCTCATGTCTCTGTTTAAATGCCAGCCCAAGTTTTTCAACTGATCTTTTTTATTTAGCAATCTTTGATTACCTACTGTCACCTAAGTAGAACCCAATTGATTTTGAAACATGGACAACTCAAGGTGGCCATGGCACCTACTGTCCAAAGTCATATAATTTGCAGCAATGCACAATGTAGCACACATAATCACTTAGGACACACACTTACACACACACACACACACACACACACACACACACACACACACACACACACACACACACACACACACACACACACACACACACACACCCTTAGGCTTTCAGGCTACATATGTGTGTGTTCAGGCTACAAATGTGTGTTATCTATGGCTTGTTGAGACTCCATTAAAGGCCACAGTAATTGACTTGCTGCTGAGAGACATTTAGAGGTGAAAGGAATGAATGAGGTGAGAATTCCCCCCCCCCCCCACACACACAAACACACTATGCATCAACAATGAGTATACCATGTTTCTAAACACAACTGCCTCCTTGCCTCACTTTGTAAGACTGAGTTATCAACCAAAATTTGAGGGGAGAAATACTTAACATGAAATTTAGAATGTTGCAACTTTTATTCAAATCAATATTTGGAAAACCCACACAAGTACAAGGAGAAAATGTAAAGTCAAACACTGCAGTGCCTCAACTGAGATTTGAAAACAAAACCTTTCAGCTCTGAGGTTGATGTCATCCTAAGTTTTCAGCTGTGCTTCAGAAGATTTTGCAATCTGGCATGATCTAATGTCTATTAGGATGTACCTGGCTGTATAAATGGGCTCACATTTTGCTCTGTCCTCCCCGCTGCTTAAGGCTTGTGACA